AGAAGCAGACTCCCTGCCGAGCAGGGAGCCCGATGCGGGACTCGATCCCGGGACTCCAGGATCATGACCTGAGCCGAAGGCAGTCGCTTAACCAACTGATCTAGGCACTGTTTTTTACTGTTGTTTTTTTTAAGTAAGCTCTATGCCCAAGGTGGGGCTTGAACTCACTCCAAGATCAAGGGTTACATGCTCTACCGACTGAGCCAGCCAGGCGCACCTATATTCTAGGCAATGTTATCCCTGATTTGCTGGTGGGGAAGCCAGGGCTCAGAGGGTTAAGGAAGGTGACCATGTTCACAGAGCTGATGGGTGACAGTTTAAACAGGAGCCCAGGTGTGGCTGGCTCTAGGTGACATTCAAAGTGCTTATATATACTTTCTCATATTTTATTCTCAGCCACTGTTACAGGGACCCAGAGAGGTTACATAACTTGCCCAAAGAAACAGAACTGGCAAAGGTCAGTGTAGAGACTCAAACCCAGGTCTTCTGATCCCAATTCTGGGGCCTTTCTAAACTCAGCATCCCTTAGCAATCAATCCCTGGCGGGACATCCTCGATGTCCTCAGGGTGCCAATCTTGAGAAGGGCTGGAGCTAGGACAGGCACCTGAGGGCTGAATCTGGGTGCTGGGCTGATGACGGGGTTACACTACACAAACTACCTCTGTGAGTAGGGGACCTAACCAAATAAACATTGAGAGGGAGAAAAGAGAGTCCTTCTGTCGCCTAAAAAAGGCATCTGGAGACTTAAGGGTAGAGCGCCACCTGGTGGGCACAAACCTTCAACCGCACAGCTAAGTCCAGCTCCTTACAAGGAAGCCAATGGGGTGGCTTTGGGGAGATATTTTTAGCCTCTGGAATCCTGAAGACATTCCAAGCGGCAGTCCCAGGAGACTCTGCAAAAGCATAAGCATGCAAGGAGATCTTGATTCCTCCAACTCAACAAATAAGACCTAAGCACCTGCGGGATGCAAACAATCGGGGTGTGGAATGTAGGAATAAGGAGCACGAGCTCCCGCCCTCAGTGTTCACGCTTTTTCTGGTAGTGGAGGGACAGCTGTGGGCACAAAAGAAAGAGCTGGATGCAAGGAAATCCAAAAGGGAAAGTATGTGTGATGGGAGGGCTGGGAAAGCTTTCAGATTGAAGTGTCTCTGGAGAGTGGATAGAACTGTGACAAGCAGAGATCCGGGCTAGGCGTTGTTGGGCAAGGCAGTCTACCATGGGGCCTGAGCAGCTCTGGCTCTAACCACTGAGTGTGCTAAGAATGCAGAGCCCTGGTCGCCCATTCGCTTTCCCACCACTGCTCACCGTTGTGTTCTGCAGCCAGCAACGTTGTGGGATAAGGGAACATCTCCCAGACAAAGAGCAGGCTTGCTTGTTGCTTACTATAAAAGTGGTGGGGGTAGGAAGGGACAGGGGTGGGTGCTCCAAGCTCAGGACTCCGTAGCCGTGACATAAAGCTCCTGCGTGGGTAACCCATCGACCTGGGCCCCTCTGCTTTGCCCCCCCTTAAACTAGGGAACAAGGGAAAGAGACATAAGGATAATGCTCATGCTGCTTGCTGTGCCAAGAATGATAAATCCTTTGAGTCTGACTCAGGAAACCGTGTCTTCTGCCCACATTCATGAAACAACAGCAGGCTAGCTTATTAGCTTGTAAGCAGGGTAAATCACAGCCCTGACAGGTGCTATAGGCAGAGGGAACAGTGTGAGCAAAAGCAGGGCCTATGTTGCTCAGGGAACAAGAAGTAGTGAAGTAGTGATGCTTGCTGGGTACTCTAAACCCCAAAGCAATGACTTTCACATGCCCAGAAGGGAAGACAGCTTATAACAAGGAGGAATGCGTGGCCACCCTGAGATCCCACGACCCACCCCTGATGTTCAGTCAGTTCTGTCTTCAGTCTCTGGGCTACTGTAAATTACTGCATATATGGACTCAACTCACATTGGTTTAATACCTATTACGTGCCAGGCCTTGAGCCAGCACTTGACATAAATTAGCTAACAGCAGAAGCAAAACTCACAGTGAGGAAGTAGATGGGTGTTGGGACCTGCAGAATCTTGCCTTGAATCTTAGAGTTAAATTACTAAATAAACATTTCCTGAACACCTACTATGTACGTACCTGGCATTATGCTACTCCTATACCTGAGTTGGAAGAGGCCTTAAAGATCATTTGCTCCAGGCTTCTGCTTTTATGAAGGGGTAACTAAAGCCTGGAGAAGGTAAGTGACTTGCCCCAGGTCACACAGCTGGTTGATGATGTGAGTGCCGAGTTTAGAACTTAGGTCTCCTGACTCACAATCCAGTGTTCACTCGGGGCAGAGGGCTCTGCACATGAACTCTCATTTGTCAGCCAAGTGGCTCACATGTCCAGGCCTGTTCCCAAGGCTGTGGGAACAGGGACCTCTGGAATGGTGGGTGGGGTCCCCTCTGGGTTGGAGTTGGGTAGGAACCTGGATGGCTCTTCAGTTTGTTACTCCAGCCCCCAAGGAGTACCTAGCCTTCACTGGAGCTATGAAGTGGCCTGGATTCTGGGCCCCTTGGGCAGACAGAGGCAACGGGCCACAGGCTGGGCATGAAGTGGTAAAGGTGTTTGACTCTGACAAAGCTCAGACCTCACTCCCCAGGAGAAGCTGGCCAGGACCAGACCTGAAGCCACAGGTACCCTGTGAGGCTTATCTGGGTGTGAAGCCACCCAGAACACTGGCTGGGAAGGCCGGGTCCCTAACGCTAAGTAACCATGGGTGACCAAGGTAGATGCCCATGAGACTTCACCATTAATTGGCTGCCCATGAGGTGCTGAAGATGACCTCCTACTGGGACTATGATGGGGATGTGCAGACACCAGCAGACCGTATTCCTGGGAAAGGAGGGGCCTCACCTATAAAGATGGACACTCTGAGCCAGGATGGACAGAATCAAACACCACCACTCTGCCAGTCAGCCTCAGATAAAAGTGGAAGTGGCTCAATAGTAGTAACCAATGTTTGCAAAGCATTTACCACGTGCCAGGCACCATGCCAGGTGCTTTCCACTCTTGTCTCACTTAGTTCCCGCAACAGCTCTGTGAGGTGGGGCCATTAAAACCACCTCCACTCTAAAAGGAGGAAACTGAGGCACAGAGAGCTTATGTGACTTATCTAATGTCAATCTAATGGAGAATGAAATTCAAATATTTGATCTCCAAATCCAGGCCTTTAAGCAGTGCATGTATCTCAGACTTCAGCCTTGATCTTGGAGGTCACAAGACATCAGAGGACTGCCCCTGAGCAGTGACAAAGAAAATGATCCCCATGCTGCAGAGATGGTCAGCATGTAGGGGGCCAGGCATGGGGCCATGAGAGTGGGTGTGGCTGTCACAGGCCCCAAGATCTGCACTTGGGGGAGGCTGACTGTGTATGCTGTTTCTATTTCTGACCCTGCTATGTGAAGGGTCTCCGGGAAAGGGGGATTTGTCCCCTGAACTCTCTAGCCTACCCACGGCTGGAGCTTTAAAGCAAGAGGAGTAAGGTCCAAGGCTTGGCCTAGAGCCGAGAGTCTCCATCAGATGATGTTTTGTGCTGAGTGTTCACCTGCATCTCCTCCTTGGCCCTTGCAACAACCTTGGCAGATAGGTAATTCATTGTCTCCACTTGACAGTTGAGGAAAATAAGATTCAGAAAGATTAAGCTAGGAACTAAATTTAGATTTCTGGACCACTGGAAACACTACAACTGTCTGAGATTCCCTGAGTCTACTTTAACCATGAACTTGCCCCTTAGGTCTAGTCTCACCGGACTCTTCATAAGACATTATTCACTGAAACCACAGAGCAAAAGCAAATGTGGTCTCCCCTCCTCTACCACTTGGTCTCCAACTCCCATTACTCCTGGGGCCTCCTACAGATGTGGCAAATTATGAAGATTTTCTCCAACTCTGGTTTCCTCTCTGCAGCCAAACCCCGGCTCCCCCACCAACCAAGACAGAGTGGGACATGACTACCATGACTGAAAGAGATCAAAGATCACAGAAACCACTAGAGACCAAGAAGAACCTTGTCCTGACCCATCAGGAAGATGCCAAAATAGCAAACATCGGGGCACCTGGGTGGCTCAGTCGTTAAGCGTCTGCCTTCGGCTCAGGTCATGATCTCAGGGTCCTGGGATCGAGCCCCACATTGGGCTCCCCACTCAGTGGGAAGCCTGCTTCTCCCTCTCCCACTCCCCCTGCTTGTGTTCCCTCTCTCACTGTGTCTCTCTCTGTCAAATAAATAAAATCTTAAAAAAAAATAGCGAACATCATGGCATTCAAGGATCAAGAGAAGCAGCAAGAATATTCAGAGCTTTGGGAGGCTGCCTGCCTCTCCTATGGCAGCCCTCTCCCCGTACCCACAGCCCCTGTTGGAGTGGTGGCTCTAGATATAGATGGTATATTTATACTATAAAGCTCTGCCCCTACTTTCCCATCTCCTCTTCTGACCCAAACTGGGCCTATCAGATTCCTTCTTTTGGAATTTGGCCAAATGGTCGTTCCTAAATGGAGCTAGTGGTGGAGTAACCAAAGCCAGTGCATGAGGCAAATTTAGGAGTAGAAAGCCTGAGCTGGCAGAGGAAGTTGATCTGCAGATAAAAGGGCAGTGTGTTAGGGTTGTCTAAAGAAACAGGATGGATAGATTATACATATAGATTTACTATAAGAAAATGTAATCATGGAGGCTGTTAAGTCCCAAGATGTGCAGTTGGCAAGGTGGAGACCTAGGAGAGCCATGGCATAGTTTAGTCTAAAGGCTGAAGGCTCAAGACCCAGGAAGAGCCAGTGTTTCAGTTAGAGTCTGAAGAAGGGGGTGGGGGTGATCAATGTCTCAGGGCACCTGGGTGGCTCAGTCGGTTAAGCTTCTGACTCTTGATTTCGGCTCAGGTCATGATCTCAGGGTTGTGAGATCGAGCCCCATGTCAGGCTCTGCACTGAGCATGGAGCCTGCTTAAGACTATCCCCCACACTTGCCCCCATCCCCACTTGCATGCATGCACACATGCTCTCTCTCTCTAAAACACACACACAATACAACAATGTCTCCACTCAAATAGTCAGCAAAAGGAGGTCCTTCTTACTCATGGGAGGGTCAGCCTTTTTGTACTATATAGGCCTTTAACTGATTAGACAAGGCCCACCTACATTAGGGAGGGCAATCTGTTTTACTCGGTCTACCAATTCAGATGTTAATCTAATCCAAAAACACCCTCACAGACACACCCAGAATAATATCTGAACAAATCTCTGGGCACTCTGTGGCCCAGTCAAACTGACACATAAAATTAACCATCACAGGCAGCTAGCTAAACAGGGACAAAAGACGGTGAGAGAGGACAGCTGCCTGTGACTTGCTTCCGGTTGTTCTGCTACACTTCATTTCTGTGAACTCACCGTTGCTTTCCAGTAACAACACCCCCCGTACTTCTTCACCTGAGCTATCTTAAACAGATTTGTTTCTTATCAGCACTGGAATGCTTGCATCTATGTCCCCTTCCCCTGAATCTGGGTAAGCTTGTGACTCAGTTATAACAAACAGGATGGCAGGAACCACACTGTATGACTTCTAAGTTCTGTCCAAAAGACAAAGCCACTCCTGCTTTGGTCACTAGAACTCACACTTGCAGCCCTGAGCCACCATGGAAGAAGTCTCTGTTCCGGGTCATATTGAGAAACCACCGAAGCACTCCAGTCAGCAGCCTTGGCCTTCAAGTTCTCCCAGCCTAGGCACCGGACATAGGAAATGAGCTTTCAAATGATTCCAACCCCCAGCTGTCAAAGCAACCTGTGCGTTCAAGACTTCCAGCCGGAGTTCTGACATCAAAGGGCAGAGACAAGCCACTCCCACTGGGCACTCTCTCAATTCCTGTGTATCATTCATGCTTTCTATTTTCTGTTGTTTTGTGTTGTTTTGACATCTTGGGACCTTGCAGATCCAGGGAGGGACTGCCCCTCCCAGAATTAACTAATTCCTAAAGGTAGCAAAGAATGTGACTGAGAGTATGCCTCTGACATGCAAACCAACCAATCCTGAGCCCAACTCCAAACCACCTCCTTTATTTGGGCTCTTACACTCCAGGAGGCAATATTCCCCTGCCCTAATCATCCCAGGGAAAGGTATCAGACAACTGGAGACAGTCCCTATGCCCCAGAGCCTGCTGGAATTATTCAAACTAGCCAATCCTAAACTTGCCTAGCTGCGTACTTTGTTTCACCCATTTCTGCCCACAAAAACTATAATAAAAGCTCATGTCCATGCTTTTGCTCCTTCTGCCTCCTGACTGACCCTGGTGCTTGCCAGTGTGGCCATGTGTGGTGTGGCATGTCCCTTCCTCTAGGGAACTGTGAGTAACAATCTTTTCTTTTCTTTTCTTTTCTTTTTTAAAGATTTTATTTTATTTATTTGAGAGAGAGAGCACAAGAGGGCGGAGGGTCAGAGGGAGAAGCAGACTCCCTGCTGAGCAGGGAGCCCGATGCGGGACTCGATCCCAGGACTCCAGGATCATGACCTGAGCCGAAGGCAGATGCTTAACTGACTGAGCCCCCCAGGCGCCCCCAAGTTATCTTTTCAATGGCAGCCATCACCTGATCTGTTGGCCTCACAGTTCCTAAATAAAACCAAAATCCTGACATTTTAAAACATCCTGACCTGGGGCACCTGGGTGGTTCAGTCAGTTAAGCCTCCGACTCTTAATTTCAGCTCAGGTCATGATCTCAGGGTCGTGACACCTGAGGTCCCACGTCCAGCTCTGTGCTCAATGTGGAGTCTACTTTAGAGTCCCTCTCCCTCTGCTCCTCCTCCGCCAAATAAATAGATAAAATCTCTTAAAAAATAAATAAAACATCCTGACCCACAGAATCCATGAGCATAATAAAATGGTCATTTATGCCACTGAGTTTTGGGGTGATTTGCTATGCAGCAGCTGTAGCTGGAAGACGTTGATATCGTGCAAGTCTCTAACCTCAGCTTCTTCATTGGCATAATGAGATGAACAGCAATGGCTCAGTATCACTGTGCTGTTGTGGGGATTCAATGAGATGCAAAGTGCCTAGAGCTCATATGTGTTAGCTTTATTATCAATACTGTCTTCTGAAAGAGCTTGGACACCCAGCTCACTGGTTTCAGGGTATCACTGGATTGCAAGACAAAAGCCTGCTCTCATGTGAGTTTTGCTCACTTGAGGTTCTTTATCCTCACCACATTACCAGTCTCGCTATCCTCCACTGGATCAGCCAGAGTCCAATCTCGAGACAGAAACCACACAGTAATTTGCATAGGGAAACCTCAATATAAGGAATTATTATTTACTCTAATGGAGTGCTGAGGCATTAGCTAACAAGAAGTTAAAGAATATAGGAAAAGAAGACCTAAGCAACAGCCACTACTCCTAGGGCTGAGATAGGCCCTTAAGAAGAGCTCTCCGCCCCCCTCCCTCCTACCAGGGCCAAGATTCAGATCTCCTTAGAAAGGAGACATAGCTGTGGCTCAGTAAATGGGGAAGAAGTCAGTGAGGTGCTGTCCCTGTAGAACTTGCCAGAAATCAGCCATCTGGGGTGCTACTGCATGGACATCAAAAGTTACAGCAAAATGGAGCGCCTGGGTGGCTCAGTCGGTTAAATGTCCAACTCGGTTTCGGCTCAGGTCATGATCTCATGGGTCATGGGATCCCCTGCCCCAGGTGGGGCTCCGAGCTCAGCTTGAAGATTCACTCCCTCTGCCCCTCCCCCCCACTCATGCGCACTCTCTCTCAAATAAATAATCTTTTAAAATCTTTAAAAAAAAAAAAAAGATTACTGCAAAGCCACCCAAGGGGCCGAGGGAAGCTACCAGCCCATGTGTGTTACTGGCCGCCCAGCGCTGTAGGACCCAGGCGCTGAACAAGCCGCCCACACCGCGGGAGCCTACACAGGGCGGGGGAGGGGGGTGCAGGGGGGCAGTGCGCGGTGGACCTGGTGCCTGAGAAGTCACCTGAGCTCCATGAGCAGGCCCTGGAGAAGCCTGGCAAGCTGCGGGAGCCTGGTGAGAGGACACACCAGAACCAAGGAGAGAAACCCTTCCTCCCACGGCGGCTTGCCGGCTCCCTCCACTGACAAGGCTGAGCATTGTGCCTGCTGGAAAAGGAGAAACATTTGCAGGACTCGGCTCCGTGATCACAGAGATAACTGGTACAGTCTACCTCTTTGGAGATTCAACTTCCATATGCAACCCTCTATATACATTTGGACTTCCATACGACAATGAAACAACTCAATATTACCACCTAATGAGTTACAGCTCTCCTTCTGGGACATGACATTCTCATTCCCTCTCTCCAAAATAAGGAGATACACAGTCCCAACGGTCTGCATTAAATACTGCTCAGAAAGAAAAACAAACAAACAAAAAAACACAAAAAACTTCTCAGATTTTTTCAGAGTCCCTCGGAATACACTGTTAACTAAACACTAAACTTGTGACATTAACTTCCAACAACTTACATATAAACTTACATATGAAATGAAAACATGAAGAGAGAGAAAAAGAAAAAGGTTAGTATGTACAAAAACATCCTGTATATATAACAAACAGAAAAAATAAGCAAAGCTACTACAAGCCTTGTTTTTATAATTGGCCACAGGGCTGTTTTAGTAGCCATTAATGATTTTCTAGCTGCTTCATTCCTTCTACACTTATTGGTTGGTATGCTACTATAAGAAAGGCCTTTTTCTTCTCCTCTGTTTACCTATTTATTCACTTATTTATATTGTTATGGACTTAGGTATTATTTCACCCACTGAGTTATAATCTGTTACTGTTATGATTTATTTTGATGCTCTGCACTTGCTAATGGGAGCCCTTATAAATGGACTCCTAGTCCTTTTGATGTGTTTCCAGCATTCTTTGAGTACTTCCTTACTTTCCAGGACAAGATGTTCTAGAATCATCCTGAACTTTCTCAACCATTTCTCCAAGAAGCCATGGTTCCTTTTGTGGAGAATGATATTGAGAACTCGGTATGTGGATTGTAAATGTGCTTATTCCTATTGGGGTATCATCACTTCTAGGCCCTCTCAGAAGACACAGCTGGAGAACGTGTGTGTTTGCATGTGTTTGTGTGGATACATACACATGTATATACGTACACATACACATTTAAACATATGCATACATTTACAACTTATCTATTTCTATATCTACTTATCTGTATGTTAAAAACCATGAGTTCATACTTGCTATGGACTGAATTGTGTCCCCCAAAATTCACATGTTGAAGCTCTACCCTCCAATATAACTGTATTTGGAGTAAGGAAGTCATTAAGGTTAAGTGAGAGGTCCATAAGAGTGCAGCGCCGATCTGATAGGATTAGTGCCCTTATAAGAAGAGACACCAGAAAGCTCCCTCTCTTTCTTCACCATATAAGGACACGGTGAGCAGGTGGCCGTCCGCAACCAGGGAAGAGAGCTCTCACCAGAAACCAGATGCGCTGGCACCTTGATCTTGGACTTCTCGCCTGCACAGCTGTGAGAGCACAAATTTCTCTTGTTAAGCCACCCAGCCTGTGCTATTTTGTTATGGCAACCCGAGCAGATTAATACAAAATTGACCTTTAATTCTAATGTACACGAGTCAGATTAGGTGTGGGTTTTTTTATTTTGCATTGTTTTGTTTTGTAGTGTTTCTATAATGTACCGTTTGCCTGTAGGGCTTTGCTCTCTTCTCAGTTGCTAAGTCCAGAGAAGAGGGCTGTAGTAAGTTGTCTTGTGTAATGTCCTAAGCAGAAGGGTGCTTTTTAAAAAGTTTAGAATTACCAAGAGCATTTATCAAGAAAAACAGAGCTGACTCAAGAGTCACACTATTGCTTGTCAGCTGAGTGTGAAAGTTCTCTCTGCTCTCCCCAGAACAGGACAGAGAGCAACAACAAACCCACTGGAACAAACCTCAAGTCCACCGGGGAACCATTTACAAGAGCTGCTTGAGCAATTCCTGCAGGACAGAGAGCGAAGGAGTCAAATGCTGATTTGGTGTCTACAGCAAGGTTTCTATTGAGCACTATGCCTATTGCACCTCACAGCAACAGAGAGGTGGGTATGATTATTTCCACTTTATAGATGAGAAACTAGGAAAGTGAGAGGTTAGATTATTTGCCTAAGGTTGAACAGCTGGAACCCCTTTCCTAGACTCTACTCCCCTAGAAATTAGCACTCTGCTGAGCCATCCTGGCGCCCAAGGCAAAAGGAAATAGGTGCACTCCTCTACACACCTATCAAAATATTCTCTGAATTAAATGGAAAAAGTAGACGAAAGGCCCACAATCAAAAAACATGACCATACATAAAGCCTTGTGTTGCCCAATCGATTCACACACTATTTTCAGTCGTCATAAAGCTAATTGGCAGGGAGCATAATGGCGACCTATGTGGGAACCATGGGCTGATAGGAAATGACTATTCCTGTTGCAAAATGACACGAGGTCATAAAACAAACAACAAGCTGTCTTTATTTTAAGTGTTGATATTTTGTTCACCGTGGATGTTTTACATTAATTTTGGTTTTTAAAAAATATTACATTAAAATATTTATCTTGATTACTGGGTTTTTGTTTTTGTTTTTGCTTTTGTTTTGGTGTCCCTTTAAGTATTGCACCCAAGGAGTATTCCTCACTCACCTCACCATAATCTGATCCCTGGTAAAACCAAGTCTTGGCCTGAATTACAGCAGGGCTCCATTCCTCAGAGTTGACCTTCTCTTCCAAACAGGGTCCTTCCTGTTGGGGGGTTGATCCCAAATCCTCCACTCCTGCATGATGGAAGTGCCCTGTCTTCTCATCAGACATACGGAATCATAAAGCTGTAACAACAGAAACGTTTCCATTGTGTGGTAAACACATGGTCACACGCCTGCAAAAATGTGGGAAGACACCAGATGTTCTCCACCCAGCCTTAGTCACATCTGACCCAGAAACCACAGGTTCCCAATTCCCACCCTGGTATGCTCATCTGAGCTCCTGGCATCAGAAGTCCTAGGCTCTCCAAGCACTGATATGCCAAGAGTTTGGCCTTCCTATTTGTGAGACCAGGGAACAGGGCGTCCCTGGTTCAAGCCCAGCCTCCCTGTTTAGGACTCCACACACTCCTCTTTTGAGCCAAGCAGTTGGCTGAAAGGCTTTGCAGCAATGAGTGCCTTCTATTGGAGACGCACACTGCTGACTTCTTTATTCTTTTTGCTATTTCCCTAGGTCTTCAGGGAAAGCAAAGAGAAACCATTGTTAAAACCCTTTAAAACAGCAAAGCACTTGCTGATGATGTTTTTGTGCTGGACAGAAAGAGGAACTAGAGACCACAGGATGAGGAAGAACAGCTCCCAAACATTCCTTCCACTTTGCAGAAAGGGACCCACAAATCCTTATATGCTGGCTTTTACTCTTTCCCCTCGGAACTTTTACAGAGGAGAGATCACACTTAAATGACCATGAAGGTCGGCTCTGAAGTGAAATAGAAGTCAGGGAGACCTAGCTGCCTATTCGCAGGCACCTTCCTGACCATTTTTGAACCAGTGTGCAAACAACTCCTCATCTTCCAAAAAACTAACCAAGCATTTATCAAGAACCTATTGGGGGCACCTGGGTAGCTCAGTCGGTTAAGCATCCGACTACTGATTTTGGCTCAGGTCGTGATCTCAGGGTCATGGGATGGAGCCCAGCGTTGGCTCTGCACTCAGCGGGGAGTCTGCTTGAGATTCTCTCTCTCCCTCTCCTTCTGCCCACTCCCCCCCTCATAAATAAATAAACCTAAAAAAAAAAAAGAAGAAGAAGAAGAACCCTTTGGCCACTGCATCCACTCCCAAACCGTCTAATACAAGTTCCAAGCTGCGACCAAAGTGACCTTCTAAAAACACAAATTTTTCATGAGGATGGAATGAGCTAATATTTGTAAAGTGCTGACTGGCATTACGGGCACATGGTAAGTGCTATAAAATATCTGTTAAACGATATATATAATGCTATGCCCCTCAGAGAGTCAAATGGAAACTTTTTCACCGTCCGCCTCTGCCTTCTGCTTTCTCACCACTCTACCCCTTGCTAGCCTTGCTCCAGGTCTCATATCAAGTCCTTCTGAGTCAAGCTACCTCCTAGACTCCGCACATGCCATTCCCTCTTCCTTAAACACTCTTCCCAGACCCACTCCTCTTCATTTGACCAACTTCAACTTCTTCCTTTCTTAGCTTAAATGTTTCTTCTTCTACCTCCCAGGACCTCCTACAGGGAGTTGTTTCCTCCTGTTTGACCCTTTTATAATGTTTATCACAATTGTAATCACTACTGAATGTTTTCAGCTCTTTAACGTCTGCCTTCCTTACTAGGCTGTAAATTCCCCCAGGGCACAGGCTTATAGAGGTCTCCAGTTCACTGCCTGTTAAGGAACTTGGACAGGGTGGGTCCCTAATGGACCATTGTCCAATGAATGTATAAAACCTTCCTAATACTGCTCATTTAGGTAACTGGCCCAAGGTTGCACAGACGGTTTAAGATTTGAACCCACGGCACTCTAGCTTTAAAGCCCAAGATCTCACCATCCCTTCCTTTCCCTCAGAGCTGGAGCCAGAAGACAAGTGGTCCGTCTGGGAAGTGAAGTTAAGGGAACTGCTGATTTGCAGACGGCCACACGTTGCAAGGTGCGCGGCGCGATGCGCGCCGGTCTAGAGCGCAGGAGAGGGGGCACGCGTCACGTGTATCCGCCTGCCGCCGACGCACCCCGAGGCTGGAATGCGGCCCCGCCCCGCTCCCGCGCCAGCAAAACCGCGCTCTCCCAGGGCACTGACGTCAATGAAGGGGGCGCCTCCGGGCGCCGTGCTAGGGTGGCCCAGGGCGGAGGAAAGGGGCCCCGGCGGACACGCCTCTCGCCGCTGCTCCGCTGCTGATTGGACCCGAGGAATCTTCGCACTCGGGTTTCGAAGCCGGCGGAGGGAAGGGGGCGGAGCCTCGACACGCCCCTCGCCCCTCTGTTGCTGATGATTGGCTCACAGAGTCTCCGCGTTCGATTTTGGAAGGCTCTCGCCGGAGCTCTCACCGAGGCTCGGCGGTGGATTGGCTCTTTCCCGGCTGGGGAGCGCATTCTCCCGGGAGTCGCGGCAGTGACCTAGCTGGCCCGCCTTGAGCAGCCAGGTACGTAGATCGGAGGCCCGGTTCGCGCTGCAGTGGGAGCGGGCGGGTGGGCGAGCCGTCAGAGCCAGGGTGCCGCTGGGACCCGAGCCTGCAGGTCCACTTAGGGCCTGGCGTTGTGTGAAGCTTCGGCCACGTCTGAGCCCCGGGGGCTGACCTGTGCTGGGGATGTCACCCTGCGACCTGGGCCAGGATATCCCCTCCCAAGCTCTCGTCCTGTGGGTGAACACCGCCTGGTCCTGGTGAGCACCTTCGCAGCAGGAAGCGCAGAGCTACGCCCGCCCTTTCGAAAGGCCGTGAAGGGGTTAGGGTGGGCACATCTTAACCTGCCCCATCCCGATTTGAGGTCTGTGGGCGCTGCCCTTCAGCGTGGTGAGTAATTGCTCTAACTCCCCGCGGGGCCGTGGAGTGCTGAGCGCGCCGAGGCTGGCTTGGGAGACCTGACTTTCAATCCCTGCGCCTTCCGAAACCCGCAGAAGCGGATAGCAGGCTCCGAGAGGTTTCAGAGCCTCCTGGGTCGTTCCTTCCCCTGAAGACCTCGTCAGCCATCTGGCAGAACAAAAATAACAGTGGCTGAGAGGCTGGGTGCTGGGGTCACACTACCCGGGTGTATCCAGCCTCACCACCTACCTCCTGTTTGACTTTGGGCAAGTTACTTAACCTTTTTGAGCTCAGCTTTCTCATCTGTAAAATGGGTATAACCTGTAACTGTAGTGCCTCTTCATGGGGTGAGGATTAAAAAGATCACCTATTTGAAAGTGACGTTCTGTGCTTGACATGGAGCAAGCTGCCTTGGTGGCAGCTGTGGCTTAAAAATCCGCACATGAACCCATCTCCCTTTAAACCTCTTTTCCCAAGAGTGAAAGCCCCTTCTGAGGGAGTTTCATGCAAATGACAATGATTCTATACTGCCTAGTTGTTAAACAGCCTTTTCCTTACATCACTCATTCATGCTGCAATGTACTGGGATGGATGCTTTAATATACTTTTATCTCCCTTATCCCCTTACGGGTTATTTACTCTCACTATTCTCACTATTTTGATGATGAGCAAAATGAGGCAGGGGAAAACAGGAACGTCACCCAGTTTTCAGAGGCACAGCCAGAATTCAGGGTTCTTGAACTCTTGAAAAGAGTTATTCCTACATCTAGAGTTTATTTTCCAGACGTATGTGAGAATTGGTCTGGGGGTAGGGCCCAGTTCCTTTCTCCGCTTCCACATTAGCTTTGGAGACTAACGTGTATGCAGTTCTCTCAGGCACTCCTGGTGGAGGCTAGGTCCTGAAGGCCTGGGGGGGGCTCACTCGGCCAAGTGGACTGGGCCTCCCAGTGGAGGAGCCACAGATTTGGGCTGCTGTCCAGGGGCAGGGAAGCAGGCCAGGGCCACAAGTGTTGATTTGGGCCTTGGGCCAGAGCCTCCAGTTCTTTATCCAAGAGGCCCTTTGCCTCCGATTACAGATTATTGCCATCAGCAGGGTTATCTGAAGTAGGGGAGCTGAGTGTGAAAGTGGCCCAGCTCACGCAGATGTGTTCTGCCTCTCGTGGTTACGTGTGCCTCCCTGAGACCACAGTCGGAATAGCTGTGTCTAAACAGAGCTTCATACACTACAAAGGATGCGCAGTTGTGCACTGTATTTATGTATTACAAGTTCATTGCATGGTGAGTCACTTTTTAAATATACTTCTTTGTTAGAGTTCTCTAGTTCATTTATTGCCTATTTCAAAACAAGTTGAACTTTGTCATTTTCCACATTTGGTATTTACTTTGGGGGTTCATTTTAAGCTAGTTTGTGTCAAACTGAAGTTTTTTGCAATGAGTTTTTACTCATTTGCTCACAGACCCATGTTTATATTCTTTCATGTCAGCTCTGGAATGAAAGATCCATTTGTAATCTTTTAATATCCCTGTGGTGTCATTTTCCGGTTTAAAAAAGTACCATTGTTCAAGTATACACTGACTTTCTTGGATTCAGGTCTTGTTCAAGAAATTAGGGGGAAAATAACACATTGAAAGAGATAAGAGACGTTTCTTCTGGGGAGCCTGGCTGGCTCAGTCGGTGGAGCATGCTACTCTTGATCTCTGGTTCTAAGTTCAAGCTCCTTATTGGGTGTAGAGATTACTTAAAAATAAAATCTTAAAAAAAAAGTTTCTTCTGATAATTAAAGTGTTCTGATTCATTTTCTCAAAGTTTACATGTAATCCTCTGTGAAATCCACTGATTTTTATTCCCAGTCTTAGTGCTGGCTGAATCCCAGGGTGCCAAGCAGAGCCAAGAGTGAGGATCCTCAAAATCTGGAGGTGCCAAGGCCCCCCGCCCCAAGGTGCACGCAGGGTATGTTTGAAGCTGGAGGCTTAGACTCCCTCAGATGGTTTGTTGGTGTGTTTTAACGCAGACGCTAGAGGCTGGAGGTGGGGCCTTGTAGGGCCTTGTAGCCACACAGAGGTGCCTGGGAGGATCTGGGAAGTCGGGCTCCAAGCCATCCCTTAGACAGCTGCCGCTACTTAATCCAGTTGCCGTTCTCTCCGAAGGGAGGGTAAGATTGCCTGAATCTGAGAGAAACGATACCACCTCTTCTCCCACCACCCAGACCAGCCTAGGAGTGTGCCCCAGGCTTGGCCGTAGCCAGCCCAGGTCACTGGAGTGCTTTAGAGCAGTGAGTTCTCTGTCTTCCAGACCTTAAGCCCCACATCCCACCAGCAAAACAGTGCCTTGTCTCCAGGGAAGATTGAGGAGGGCGGAGAAGAACTACTGGTTGGGGAATTTCCTGGCACCTAATTAGCCAGACCTGTCCACACGTGTTGCATCTAGGCCTCGGCAGCCCAGCAAACCCAGTCACCGCTTCCGTACAGACCTAGCCTCTTCAGAGAATCACTGACTCTGCACACGCCCTCAGAGACCATAAGCATCAACCTGTTCTTCTTACAGATAGAAGTGGGAAACAGAGGCCCACGGATGTGAAGTGTCGGAGGCCCCTCAGCCAGTGAGTGGCATGCCTAGGGCTCTGACTCATAAGCCAGTACTGTGTGCACTGGGTTGGGCTGCAGTTCCAGCTTTGTTTTGTGGAAGCTGGGGGATCTTCCTCTTCAGAGTGCCGCAGGTTCAAGGCTAGAACAGCGGGTCATGCAGTAAACAGCTTTGACGCTAATGAAAAAACTAAAATAAATTCTACAACCCCGCCCCTGCCTTGTGTGTGGGCTAGTCACGGTTCTTCCTTTTGCACCGGCAGGTTTCCCCCTTGGTGACTTAGGTGAGAATAGTGAAATACCCCCACCAAAATGATGGGCAGCAGCATTTGAGCTGCTCGGCTGTAAAGGCAGCCGAGGTTTTCAGACACAGCTGGAGCCCCTCACACCAGGTCCTGGCCTTGGCTGAGCCCCTGGCATTGAATCTGTCTCAGCTTCCTTTGCTCCTCTGAGCTGGGAGGAGGGTAACCGCGCCTGATTCCTAGAATTGTGTTGATGAAATAGCATGCATACTGTCTTATCACCTGATGCAGAGTAAATGACCCAGAGTCAGCTTTTATATCAGCCTGCAAAGTGTTCCCTGCTGACTATTGTTTTCTGGTCACAGTATGTTTTTATCATCCAGCTCAGGGGAGTTAATTACCACACATACTAGGTTTTTAACTGGATTCCGTAATAGTGCCTAAGGAGAGAGAGATTTTAAATTCCCATTTCCAGATAATAAGCACAATTTTTATGGAGTTAGTTTATCTGAAAGTCTTCTACAGGTTTATTTATTAAACCTTTTGAAGAGAGTGGGGTTCTTATGAGAGGAGGCCTAGACACTGGGACAGGGTGAGTGTGGAAATTACTGGAGGGCGCCTGGGTGGCTCAGTTGGTTAAGCGACTGCCTTCGGCTCAGGTCATGATCCTGGAGTCCCGGGATCGAGTCCCACATCGGGCTCCCTGCTCAGCAGGGAGTCTGCTTCTCCCTCTGACCCTCCTCCCTCATGCTCTCTCTCTCATTCTCTCTCTCGCAAATAAATAAAACCTTAAAAAAATAAAAATAAAAAATTACTGGAATAAGGAGGGTGGCTATTGAGTTGAGGAGGAGGGAGGGCCAGTTACATTTGCAGAGTCTAAATGGGATGGAGAGAGGTCTCAAACTCTCAGAACAAAGGCAGGTGAGAGTAAGGGCCGCGAAGCTGGGAATGCTTTATGTGATTTCCATTTTGTTGGTTACAATGAGCATGGACATTTTGTATTGAAATGTATTTTAATTTTTATTCCCTTTTTAAGCTAGTTTCTGGGTGACCAGTATCTCCGTAGCTCACTGGAATGAGGTGAGGTCTGGTGTAGCAGCCTGGCCTTTGCCATCAGGCCTGGGGCTGAGGAGCGGAAGGAGCACAGGCAAGTCCTCCAGCTGGCTCAGGCCAGAACAGAGGAACAGAGATCCTATCACACCCCTGATCCAAGTACAAAAGTGAAGGAGGCCGGGGCGCCTGGGTGGCTCAGTCGTTAAGCATCTGCCTTCAGCTCAGGTCATGATCCCAGGGTCCTGGGATCGAGCCCCGCATCGGGCTCCCTGCTCTGTGGGAGGCCTGTTTCTCCCTCTCCCACTCCCTCTGCTTGTATTCCC